CTGGCTGCCACCCTGCTGCCCTCCTGGACTGTGCCTTTGTAGGGGGCTTGGTACCTACTGGACAACTTTCCTTCTCTCTCCAGCCAAAGCGAGTGCTGCCGTTTCCGCTCACCCCCAGGGCGCCTTGGCACTGCCCCCTGGTGCCTGGAGCATAGTAGGTGCTAAGTAATCAGGATATGGAGGAGAAATGGACAGATGGACGACAGCCAGAGAAGAATGGAGGAAGGATGGATGGTTTGATGGAAGGGGAATAGTGGAGGATAGATGGGGGGACCGAAGAAGAAGTGGGGGATGGGCAGATGGACAGAATAACTAAGTCTTCCAGGAGCACAACTCTAAGAAAACCCAGGCTGCTGATGGAATGATGTCCACCAACACCAAGGCTAACTGCAACCCCTAATATGTGCATCCCCTACTATGCACAGCCCCTGGGTCCAGCTGTGCTCAGCTTCCCAAGTCCCCAGGGCAGTACCTGCACCCTCTGCTGGCCTTGAGGTCTTCCATCCACTATCTGGCCACCAGGAGCAAACAAGGAAGAGAGGTGGGCCTGGGGTGAGGTAAGGACATGAGATTTAGAGTCACAGAAAGGAAGAAGTCTCCGGGAGCCCCAGGGTCACACCCGAAGTGCCTCTTTGTGCATATCCACTGTGACAAGTGGCTCCAGTGCACCACGGGCTGTGGGCATCCAGGCTCAAGGGCCTGGAGACTCCAGGAAGGAGCCCTGCCCTTTTCCCCCATGACCCAGCTGCCCTCTGCCTGTGTGCTGTTTCCTAGTGGCTCGGGCTCAGGGGAACCCCAGTCCCCACCTTGATGGCCCTCCCATATTCATGTCCCGTTGTTCCCGACAGCTCTGACTCCATGGTAAAGGCCGTAGTGACTGGGTGTGTGCAGGATCGTTCTCCCCACAAGACTGCAAACCATGGGGGACTGCCTGTGCCTGGCACATCCTGAGCCCCTGACAGGTGTCCAGAGGGCCAGCTGATACATGAGAGAGAGGAGAGTGTTGGTCTCTTACTTCACAATAGCTTCTCTTGTAAAATGAGCAAATAAAGGATCTACCTTAAACTGTCACGTGACACTTAGCCTGGCTTCATGTCCCACAGGTCCATCCTCCATGGATGTGGTGGTGGATACCTGTGATCCCAGCACTCAGGAGGCTGGAGCAGGAGTGCCTCAAATTCAAGGCCAGCTTGGGCTAAATAATGAGTTAAAGGCCAGCCCAAATTATGGAGGGATATTCTGTGTCAAAAAATAAATAAATAAAATAAAAGTAAAAACAAAATCCTCCCAACAGCACTGCTATACAGGTGAGGAAACTGAGGCACAGCAAGGTTCAGAGACTCAAGAGAACCGTCCCTCAGGGCCCAGCTACAATCAGATACAGGCAGCCCCTCTAGCCGCCATGGCCAAACCAACCACTAACCAACAGCAGTGGCTCTGTGGGGTGATGTGGGGGGTCTCAGAGGTGGTGACATTAGTGCCACCACCATAGCAGTGCATGTCACAGTTTCTTCTTGCTCCCCTCCTCCTGGAGGGGTGGAAGCCAGGCCTTTGGACAAATCTCCCTTCCCATCATCCTTTCCTCTTGGCCAGAGGTAGGGTGAGAATGGTCATGTGACCCGTTCTGGCCAATGGGAAATAAGGAGCTGCTGCTGGACAAATCCTCTCTGATGCTTTCACTGGGACCTGTCATGCCTGCAAGATGGCGCCTTGGAACCCAAACAAGAGTCTCTGGCCAACACCTTGTGGCTGGCTCACCAGAAGCTGAGCTAAGGACAAATCTGTTGTGCTGAGCACACAGAGTGAAAATACAGGACAAGTCCCAGTACTTGCTGAGGTCACTGAGCTGCTGAATTCATAAACCCTGAAGTTGCCACATCATGTGACATAGAGTCATTTTGGGTTTTTTGGTTTGGCTTTTTTTTTTGAGACAGGGTTTCACTGTGCAGCTCAGGGGAACTCACTATGTACCCTGGCTGGCCTTGAATTCACTGGGATCCTTCTACCTCGGGCTCCCAAATGCTGGGATTATAACAAGTCATGTGTTGTTGTCATGTGTTTGCGCACCCAACACCAAAAGGCTGTGGAGCAGAAAGCGGGAGGAAGGGGAACTATAGGCGCTTAGATTTCCAAACAAGAGGAGCTCAGCCCAGTGCATGGGGAGAGGCTTTCGTGATGCTCCTACTTGGGGAGGGACAGAGGGACAAAAGAAAAGTGTGAGTGGCTCCTGGCTAAAGTTCTGTTTTCTCCATCCCAAGCCCAGCCCTGTGGAGGACCACAGAGAAACTCCCTGAAGGTTTGGGACATCTGAGGTTCAGAGGGACCTGTCCCCCTTCCTAGGCAGAACCTCAGTGCATCTAAGCAGCTGGGGCCAGGCTCAGGCAGCTCTCCAGGAGACACGGTATGTGCAGAAGTGACCTGGGAGTCCCAAGAGGCAGAGAAGCCAGGAGGCTCTGGGGGTGAGCAGGGTGCAGCAAGTACAGAGTGGCCCAGAGCAGCCCGACACTGCCAAGCCAGGCAGTGGACGCATGGATGCGGCGGGCAGAGGGACCCCGGCTGCCTCCAGGGAGGGGCACGAGAACCAGTGCAGGAGCTTGGGGAGAGGAGCCCCAGCTGGACCAGAGCACATTCCTTCCACCTCAGCAGATGAAGGTGCCTCCAAGAGATGGATCAGCCAGATGAGGAGCCAAGCGCTATTTCTCACAAATCCCAGTGTGCGGCTCTAACCCATCACTGTGGGCAGCCAGCGGGTGAAGCCAGCCGCCCACCAGGACATGAGGGCTGTGTCTGCCCATCCCACCCTGCTGCCAGCCTAAGACGGTCACCTCCACATGCCTGGGCCGCTGAAGGCTACTCCTGCAAGCCAGCTGCCCTGTGCACAGAGGACCCCAGCCTCCTTTCCAGCTTAGAGGCCAGCTGCCCCGCAGCCAGGCCTGCACAGCCCTATGAACTCTTGACTCATGTCCTGGAAATCCCTCCTTCCTCTCTGGCTCCCGAGGCCTCTGCTGGCTCCAGCTCACCCTGCTTGGCCCCACCCACAACGCACCCTACATCTGTTTCTGCTTCTGTGGAATCTCTGCCTGTTTCTCCCCATCCTCCAGATGCACACGTGGCAGCCCGCGGCTACTCTGATGGGCTGCCAGGGAGGGCTGTGCCGGAGGGGTGAGCTGTCTTAGCATTTCCGCCCCTGGCCAGGGATCCTGTTTCTAGCTTCCCTGGCTCCGGTTCCCCAAGCTCGAAGACAGTCATTCATCCAACAGACAAGCGTGCATCAGGTGCCTGTCCTGCTCGGGCACAGGAAGGCTGCCACGTCCTATCCTTAGCCAGAGCAAAACCAAGTCTCCTGTAGAGGGTGACAAGCCCCAGGTCACCTTATAAAGGTCTCAAGATAGTGCTCGAGCTGGGAACAGAGCTAAAGGAATGGGGTCCGGATCAGAACCCCCAGACTGGCTCCAGAGCCCACCCCCTAGAATGTGAGCCCGGGTCACTGCTCTGAAACTTCCCAAACCCCATCGCAGGCACTGTGTGTTTTATGGCGCAATCAGGGATCGCTCCTCCATCAGTTCTCATTTAGGGCTCTGAAAACTCCCACTTAGTCCCTGGTCCCAGAGTGCAGCAAGCATCCCCAGTATGTAAGCGGAAAGGACTTTGAATCTAATGTTACAGAAAAAGAATAAAGGGGAGGTTGGTGAAGGCTAGTGAGTTAACCAGCATGCTCCAGCCCTCCAGCCAAACAAGGATCCCAGGCAGAGCCAGGCCAGAGGCCATCTCCAGATCCCCAGCCTCTGCCCTCCCCAAGGTCACAGCAAAGTCTCGTAGGAGTAACAGGGCCCAGTAGACAGAGCCTGTGTCAGCGCTGCACCCTACCTGGCTGCCTTCTCCTTCCTCTCTGCTATCAAATCTCTCACTGCTTCCAAGGCTAGAGGGCACATGACCTCTCCACACGCCCAGACCTCCATCATCTGCCCAGTTTCCAGATGTGCCATGTCCTCTCTGGACAGCAGTCTGACCCCTCCTGCCTTCAGGCCTGCCCTGGCCCTGGGATGACCTGTCTCCTGAAGGCTCACCAGCACGTAGACACACGCAGCCCAGCCTGGCATGCAATGGTCAAATGCAAGGGCAGGACGGGAATGTGTGGTGCCAGTCTTGGTGCCCCAAACTAGCACAGCCTAGAAATGCCTATCGGCTCCAGCTTTTGTTCTCAAAGGAGGAACTTGGGTCCTCTTGCAGGTGTTTAGCAGGAAGCTGCAATAGCTTTGCCGCATCTGCCATCAGCCAAGCACCAGTCCGGGGGGACTTGCATGACAAGGGGCTCCTGGGCAGCCAGGGCCATCATCCTGACCAGGACTAGGTCCAGGGACACAGCCCAGCCACAGCACCTGTGGGATGGCTCCCCAGTAGCTCCAACAGCGGGTCTCAGTGGAGACCACTATAAAACATCCAGGCGCATTCAGAACCTCACAACCAGCTGGGCTCCAAGAAACTGGAGCTCTGCATCTATGGCTGCTGGACTGGACCCAAAGCCACTGCAGACAGTGAAAGGTTCTCCATGGCATGATTGTCCCACATGATGCCCAAAAAGCCACCAAACAGAAACAGCAGTGCCGAGCAGAGCCAGAGGCCCGGTGCTATCAGAGGGGCACAGAGGCGCATGCCTTTAAACGCATATGTGTGTTTAGCCCCATGCAAGTTCAGGCAGCTGCCCTGCTGACACCCACAGTGAAGTGCAGCATGGATTTTCCTGGCAATCCTGTGTCACTCTGTCACCAGCAGCCCCATTTTACAGACCAGATAATGGAGGCCCGGAGCTATGGGCAGTGACTGGGTCATGGCAGACTCTGACTGGGTTGCACTAACTCCAGGGCCCCAGGGCCATATGAGTGACTGGGACAGGGGCGTCTCCTTGCAGGTAGGAAGCACACAGAGTGAAGCCCAGGGCTGGGCTCCCAGGGTGGATCAAGGACACAGAGCACACAGCAGCAGCCTGAATCACCAGGAGACGCGGCATCCTTTAATCACATAAACAAGCAGCGCAGAGTGTGGTCTGGCTAGAGGTGGCCTGTAGCACCAGCTTTGGTGGCACGTGGCGGGCTGTTCCAATCACCCTGCCACTTGGCCATGGCTCCCTTGAGCTGTGAGCACCAGAGCCCACCCCAGGACACCCTCTGCCCCAGGGTCTACAAAAGCACCAATGGTGAGAGGCTGTGACCTGCTGGGGAAAGGGCCAGGACACCTGCAAGGAAAGAGGAAGAGGGTGGCCCCCACTCCCCCAGGACAAGAGGACAGAGACCTCTGCCAGGATCTCTTGGCAGCACAGCTCAGGGGAGGCCCCAGTGACCTGAATGTGGCCCATATCACCTCCATGGGCCTGCCAGGGGCTCCCAGGCTGTGGCCTTTAGTCCTGGCCCACATTCCACTGCACCTGTCAGGGCAGCACCACCAGAGAGGGCACCATGGCAGGAGCTGCCCACCTGGCCTTAGCACCTTGAGAAAGCCTGGCAAGTCGGGGCACTGGGCCCATGAGAGTGGCCAGGAAGGTCAGACAGCACCTGGGACAGACAACATGTCTGACCACGGCTGAAACCCATGTCTGACAGATGCTTTTAGCAAGAGGGGCTGAGCAAGGCCCTGAGGAGCCCTGGGGTGGGCAGCCGAGATATAGATGGGAGGCCCAGAGTCCCAACGGGCCACTGTAAGCTGTGTGGGGCACTAGGAGTCTGGGCTCCATTCCCCAGGGTCTCCTTTGGTTCTCCAACTCCAGAGTCCTCTCCCACACAGCCCTTGACCTAGCCAAGGCTCCTCTGGGGATGCCTTTCATGATGGGCACTGGGCAAGAAGGTGGAGTGGGAAGGGGACAGCACACCCCTTGGGGACCCTGTGCAGGGCATGGTGGGAAAAGGGGGACCTGAGCACCCAGAGCACAGGCCTATCTGAAGAGAGGCCTGCATGCTCTCCGGGTCGGGATTCAAGTCTGTGTACTCATTGGTTTTTGTCCCACCCCCACCCAGGCTGGACTGGGTGCGCACCAAGGGCAGGGCAGGATGCAGAGCCTGTGTCTGATTTGCCTCTGATTTTGTGGGGTTAAGCATGGAGCAAATGCTCAGTGTTTGATGAATGAATAAATGAATGGCCATTGCAGGGATGGAGGTAAAGAGAGGATTAACATCAGAAGGAAAGGGCAAAGAGAACAGGGAGGGCAGTCCTGCAGTGATGTGAGAATTTGAGGATATTGGGAGAATCCTAGAGTGACTAGAAGATTCCGCAATATTCAGATAAAGTTAGCATATACTAGAATGTTCAGGAAATTGTAGAATGTTCCAAGAGGTCGAGAGAGTACTAAAGTGTTCAGAAAGGTCTAGCATGTACTAGAATGTTCAGGAAGTACCAGAATAAAGCACTGATCACTTCAGTATGGTCCATAGGCCATTAATCTCAGCATTGTGGAGGAACTTGTCAGAAATGCAGAATTCTGGGGCCCACTCCAGACCAGCTGGATCATCTGCAATTTTACAAGATCCTTGGAAGTCAGATGCCACCTTAAAGTATGAGAGGGCTGAGCTGTGAGTCTAGGAAAGTTCTAGAATATGGAGGTTAGAAAGTTCCTGGAAATAAATGCCGGAGAGGTGAAGGGGCAGAAGCAGAACGGGAGGGACTGTGGCAGTAAGGAAAGAAGAGGACATCGGGCATCCCCACCTCCCGTGGGAAACCCAGCCCAGTGGGGTAGGACCAGCTCACAGCCACCCAGCTCCTGAGTCACCAGCCATGAGGGCAACAGGAGGCGCTCAGTCATCCTCAGGCTTGATGAGGTGGCCACTGAAGGTGATGTAGGTGTCCACGTCGTCGCTGTACACGGCGTTCTCGCGCTCGCGCTTGAAGAGCCGCACCCAGACACGGTCGTCGGGCGCCAGGGCCAGCATGACGCTCTGACTCTGCATGATGCTGCGGTCGCTGGGCTGCGCGTACAGGATGACGGCCGCCTCCTCGTTGTGCACCACGTGCACGTAGGTCTCCTTGAAGTTCCAGCTGTGCACGTTGAGGCTGAAGAAGTAGAGGCCGCGCAGGGGCGCGACGAAGTGGCCGGCAGCCATGTCAAAGTGCCCGTCAGGGTTCACGAAGACAGTGTCGAACAGCAGCGGCTGGAAGTCCTCGCTGCTGTGCAGGGCAGTCTTGCGGCCCACCGAGAAGGCTGAGGAGCGGGTGCGGCACGGGCTGCCCGGGCTGCCCGCCTGCCCCTTGGCACCCTTGGTGCCCTGCGGGCCCCGGTCCCCTCGGGGGCCCTCTTTGCCCAGCTTCCCTGGTGTGCCCAGTAGGCCACGGTCCCCTTTGTCACCTGTGGGAACATGAAGGGAAAAGTCAGGGCCATACCTGAGCCTGCGCCACACACTCATTGTCAGTGGGCTCTGTCCCCCTCTGGGCCCTGAGAAAGACATCACCTCCCCAGATGTCTCCCTGAGTGAAAGAAACAAAGACAGGAAGAAAGGAGACATGGAAAGGTGCAATTTTTAAATTGCACTTTTAAGAAAACCACAGCTTCCAACTCAAAGGTTCTGGCGCCTTGCTCACCCTGAGGCCTGTTCTTCCCCTCCCAGGCTTCTCATCCCTGAGCTCCCAGGAGCCTTAAAGATGCAGTGAGCTGTAAAACGGCTCTGTGACTTCCTTCCTATACTGTCTACTTGGTCCTCCAGCATCAAGGCAAGGACCTCGCCAGCTGGGTCTCTATTTCTAAGCTTCAAGCACAGGTACACAGTTTCATCCTAACCCAGCCCGCTAACTGATAACCTAGACCCCAGGAACGCAGGCCTTTGGTCACTGCCTTGTGGACACTCCCAAGACCATGTAACACCCCAGCCTGGACCACAGTGCACCCCGCCCTGAGCACCTCGCACCCTCCTGACAGCACTCTCCAGCCACTCCCACCCTCCAGGGCACTGGCAGCCCTGAGTCCTCAAGTCTCCAGGCAGGTGTCCCTGCTGGGCCCCATTCCCAGAGGACCCCGAATGTGGTCAGGCAAGCACCTACACCCAGGCACTTCTGTGAGCCCGACACAGAGCCTGGAGCCACACCTGTAGCTGGTCTATGATCCGGTGGGGGGAGGGGCAGAGAGGGGATACAGGCCCTTGGAGAAGGAGTCAGAGGAGAGGGGGGCTGAGTGAGTATGTAGCTTCATGGACCCAGAAAGAGGGGACCAGCCTGATTCATGGGCAAGGAGCTGGGGGTGGGGCCCAGGACTCCAGAGGCCACTGGGGCCTCTTGTCACTGCAAACTGGGCAGCTCAGGCATGCAGTGGCCCGGGGCTCAGGGGAGGATGGCTGGGGAATCACTGTGGGCACACAGGCGCCTGCAGCCTCAGCAGTGCTGTCCCCCCAGGAAATGAGAGTGGGGCGGGGACCTTCAGCACCAGCTACAGTGTGGCCTCGTGGAGCCTCGGGCACAAGTCCTGCTCTGTCCCTGACAGCTGTGTGCCTCGCGCACTTCTTTCCCACTGGAGACTCAGTTTCCCCCTCTGCAAAGTGAAAGGAGTGGTACAATCGCAACCTCATGGGGTCAGAGTGAGCAAAGACAGGTTGAGGAGGGCAGGAGCCCTGCCACCGCGGTCACCATTCCAGCCCCCTTCACAGCTGATGTCACAGGGCAGGGAGCCGCCAGCCTACTGTGGCCCTCTTGGGCCCAACTCCTGCTGGCCACCCTGGCTCCTGTCCCTGCCCTCCATTCTGCGTATGACACTAGGGTTCCTCTGAGCCCTAAGTCAGATCAGGTTCTTTCTCAACTCCAGCCCAACCAGATTCCACTCACAGAAGCCCGAGCCTGACCTGATGGGGCCTGCAGTGACAGCAAGGGCGACCTGGCCCTGTCCCATCTCCCCCTGCCCTGCTCCTTCAGCACCCCCACCCCAGGGCTTTGGCATCTGCTATATCCCAGCCTGCTTCCCTTTCTCCGTGGGCTGTTCCCCCTCACTCACTCCCCTCCACAGGGCACTTGTTACACCAACACCAGTGTCACCAACCTAGGTGGTTTGCCTGTCCTGGCTTGTCCCGTTCCCTAGGGTCCCTTGGGCCATGCCCTGCTGCCTGAGACTCACCCTTCAAGATGGTGATGTTTATGTAGGGCCTGACCTCAGGCAGGGCGTAGGGGAGGGCGGATGGAGAGGCTGCAGAAGAAGCGTCGGCTGGGGGTAGCATGTCCTCTGAGTCACAGCACCGTCGGCAGCCACCAGGGAAGCTGGGGTCCATGGCTTCCCCAGAGGTGGGCTCCTCAGTGGGGACCCCAGACACCACAATAGGGAGCAGCAGCACCACCCAGAGGGAGCACAGGGTGGTAATCCCCATGATGGCCTGCAATGAGGAAGCAGGGGCAAGAACTACATTCCACTCAACCTCCAAAGGACCAATGCCTAGCGTGGCTGATGCCTCCCCCTGCAAGTGTGGGGGGCAGGATCAGGACCCTCCCCATTTAGCTGACAAGAGGATAGAGGTGGCACAAGGACGTGGGCCGACTCTCTGGCAGATTAGAGTCCCCGGGGCCTGGGCTGGGGTGGGCAGGGAGATGCCAGAGGCCATGAGGACAACCGAGGCGGCTGGTGAGCCACTTGCCCCAGCAAGAATGGGCCCCTGGGTCAGCAGGAGCAGCGGGGCCCCTGGGACACCACTCCAGCATCTGCAGTACTGTTCTCAGGAGAGGGGACTTTTAGGGCACCCCTGCTTTGGCCCTGTAACACAAAAGCCCTGACATAGGAGACAGGAGAGTTGGTCTGTTCTAGCAGCCAGGACATAATGTCACAAGAGAGGGGGGCGTATGTGGGGTGCCAGCAGCATCAGCATATTCTTGAGATATTGGGGAGATACAGCAGGTTATGAACTCAAGCACCTTGGCGGCATCTTTGTGGGAAGAGAAAGTGTCACCTCCCTGGGCAAGCAAGTGAGAAACAAGTTCTCTGTGGAGGATGTGCTTGGCTGAGGCTGGAGTCAGCCATTTCAGCCTCGGCACCCTTGTGCAGTCAACAACCTACACCACCCATCATGACCAACAACCGCCCCCCACAGTAGGCTCTGAGGTGAATCACTGGAAGGTGGCTGTGTCAGTCATCACAGACCTGCCAATCAGCCACTGAGGTGGTCAACTGGAATTAAAGGCAAAACTGAGAATGTGGGAAAGTCCAAGGGGTCAGAGAAGCCCAAGGCTTGATAAGGATGTGCCTCTGATGTTGGCCGCGGAGGGACCCCAAGATCTATGGCCTGGACTCCAGAGAAGGAGGCAGGCTGGGGCGGGGCGGGCAGGAAGCCCAGCAGGGAGCCTCAGAGGCAGTGGCAGCCCCCAGGGGCCGTCGTCACCCCGTGATCACAGGATCAGAAACTCGCTTCTGAAACCAGACTGGTTTTTACACTTCTAGCGTTTCTTTGTTTATTTCCTTTTGCTCTCCTTTAACATTTAGTACAATTCAAAAATATTTTTTTGTGGTTAATACGGGTAGAGGAGGTAAAATGATTACCCTCTGAAATGCCACCTGAGCCAGCTGAGCACTCAGTGACAGGGGCCCCTCTCCCTCTTGACAAGGGCTGGGTGGCGGCAGGCAAGGAGGATGGGCAGGCGGTCTCCAGAGCCTTCCCTCCCAGGGACCCTCCCCAAGCTCCTCCTGCCCACTCTGTGCCACTTTCGGCCTGCTGATGAGTCCTCAAAGACCAGCATCTCTTGGGATTATGGCCAGCTTTGCTCTGGACACCACTGGTCCCAGCAAATCCTCCTTCTTTTCTCACTACTGCAGGATGCCTGACACAGAACTGAGACACCAGAGTACAAGCTCTGTGCTCTAAGGCTGGTGGCTTATCCACTCTGGGCAAGCCGCTTCTTGGTACTCACAAGATGCCAGCATCAGCTCTGGGCCCAGCGAGCAGGGAAGGGTACACGCAGGGCCAGTGCCTGGCTTGTCAAAGACACTCCAGTCTGTTCCGCCCTGCTCCAAGCCTGCAGGCCTGGGAAAACACAGAACTCCCCTCCAGGAGGTTGGCAGGGTCTGGGGACATTTCCATTTCCTACTGGAGCATCTGATGGGAGTCACAAATTGTGAGAAGCAGAAGAGGGGACAGGAAACAGGAAGCCAAGCGGCCTTAGCAAGGGCAGGAATAACTGGCTGGCCCTGGGGGAGGTGCCAGGGACCAAGTGGGGGGACCATGCTATCCGGAGTCACTGCTGCCTCTGCTCAGAGCTGTGTCCTCTGCGGGGACCCTTGTTATCCAGAGGCTGGTGGCCCTGCAGGGGTGGCTACAGCTGGGGCAAACAAGACCACATCAGGGTAGCGGGGCTGGTGCCGTCCTCGGAAAGCAGCAAGGCTGCCCAGGAAGAGGAACCCAGGGCTCGGACCCCAGGGCCCTCGGCTGAGCCCTGTGAGGGACCTCCCACCACTCACCCTGTGTCCTGCGGCCTCCCTGCACAACCACTCACGGACCTGGGGCCTCCGGGCAGCAGCTGGCTCCAGGGCCCATGCCTGTGACGGGAACTTGTTGCTGCCTGGCGGACCCTCAGCCTGGGAGCGGAGGGAGAAGGAGGAGGCGGGAACGCTGAGCTGGCTGCCCAGTTGCTCCTCCTCATCCCTCCTCCCTCCCTCCCTCCCTCCAGCGCCAGGCCCAGAGGCAGCTATGAGATGAAGGGATCGTGATTTCCGCTGCTTAACTCTTTGGAGGTCTGATGGGTGAGGTTTGATTCCAAGGCCTGGAAAGGCAGAGCAGAAAGGAGCTTGAGGCCCTTCCATGTCCGGACGGGGAAAAAGGGGGCCGGAGTCTCTTAAGCTGCTGAAGAGAGAGAGGCAGTGCTAGAAACTCCCAAGCCCAGGGTTCAAGAGCTCACCCTGACTGGCAGATATGGCATGGAGGTTGGCTCAGACAGCAGGAGGGTACCAGCACCTACCCTCCTGTGCCAGGCCCGAATCCTGGCCCTGCCACGCACTAGCCAGGGACCCAATCAATCAGACCTCAGTACCTAGAACTCTGTCACCACCCAAGTGCCATGTACAAGGGACAGGCTGGCTGGGTGAACGCAGGCAGGACACCTTGGGTGCCAGGAGGGGGACAGCCAACTCCCAGTGGACCCTGAAGGCCTCCCCCTCAGCCTGGAGCTCTGCCATCATTTTTATTCAGCCTCCTGGTCCTCTGCAGAGAGTCTCCAGGCAAACAACCCTAACACATTCAGAGAACAGGCTGTGGGCCTCTGGATCTAGGCCCAGCCTTGCCTCCATTTCCTTCTTGGTAGGCTGGGAGAAGCTGGGCAGAGGCTGCAGCCCTGGCTCTCCACCCTGGCTTTCTGGAGCCAGGATCCTATGCAAAGACAGCCTTGAATGTCCCTGGCCCTCTGCCGCCCTCTGTTCTGCAGTCACTGCATACCTACTGCTTAGGCCAAGTCCCCAAGTCTCAGGGGCCTCTGGTCCCCAACAGTTGTTTGTACCCATTGTCTCAGCCTCAGCAGAGGGAGCCAGGCTCAGGGGCCAGCTAGGTGACTTGTCCAAGGTCATCATGAAGTAAAAAAAAAAAAACAAAAAAAAAAAAAAACCTGGGTGCAGGACAGAAGCGCTCTCCAGCCCGCCTGAGCCCACACCTTGGGCCAGGGAAGCACACAAGGGGGCAGGGAGCAGAGGAAGATAAGTGTTAAGCCCGGAGTTCTGCAGGCTGAACCCCACTCACAGCTGTGCAGTAGGGAAGGGAACAGCCCCTGGCTGGATGTAGTCAACCAGCACCCATCCCCAGGCCCCAAATTTCCTATTTGCTTGACGGACAAACAGCTGTGAATCAGGTCTGGAAGGCTCCTTAGAGATGATTTCATTTGATTTCTCTATCTGACCGGAAAACACAGGACACCATGGCCCAGGGAAGTCAAGACTTTGGCTCAAGGCCTCCACACTGCAGACAGGAGGCCAAACTGAAAGGACAGCCAGATTCTCCTGATTTCTGCCCCTGAGCTGCTTCTTTCCTCTCTCGCCCCCACCACCAAATGCAGCCTCCAAGTCTGTTCAGCAGTACTGGGGGGAAGAGGGAATGGGGAACCACAGAAAAAAGTAAAGAGCTGTGAGGGCCTGGGCCATGGGGACCACTGTCCACATCCTCTCCATGGCCCTGCCCAGGGGGCAGCATTCCCAGGGCGCAGAGCCAGGGCAGGGGAACCACCCTCCTACACTGCCCGAGGCCACCCTGGAAAAAGGGCAGAGTCAGCAGCATTGGGGGTGGAGGGCCTCTTTGGCTGGTTCTGAGCCCTCCGGTTTAGCAAGCCTGAGAGGCTGGGAAAGGGGGTGGAGAAAGACGGATAGAGACAGAGAAGCAGGCAGGGCGCCCGGCAGTCTTGTCCAGGGACAGCAGCATGCTTAGCAGTGTGCATCCCACGCACACACTCAGTACCGCTATGCAGAAGGTGAAGCTGCAATCCAGGAGGATGTGACCTTCAGGTTTGAAGGTGAGATCGTCCTTAGGCTCCCAGCCAGGTGATGGTCCAGAAAGGGCCCTCTGTCCCCCCAGGTCCAAGCAGCTGGTGGGGGCGTGGTAGGTAAGACAGCAGCATGCAGGATCATTACATTTATTTCCCTCCCACTCGATTTCACCATCCCTGGAAATGCCTCCCCGTGGGCACCATCTGAGTCTGTTCTAGCTTGGATCTGAAACATTACCCCTAAAGCTTAGTGCTGAGGGCTTTGTACCCAAGGCAGCAGTGTTCAGAGGGGGCCCCTTTGGGGAGGCAGCTAGGTCAGAAGGACTCTGGCCTCATCTGGGGGTTAAACCTTTTCTGGAGTCCAAAGGGAGGCTGCCTGGGAGGTGGTGGGAATTTAGGAGGTGAGATCTAGTTGTGCACTCTTGGGGACCACGCTGTGCTCCCAGCCCCTTCTTCTCTCTCTCTTTTCGAGCAGCCCGGCTCCACCACAAGCTTTCTGCCACATTCAGCCTGGCCTCAGGCCTTCAGGCACAGGGCCAACCAACCATGGACCGACACTCCGCAACTGTGAGCCTCTGTCTTGCGTGATGTTCTCAACTGGCACAGTCCTTCCCAGGGTGTCCCCCACCAGCTGGGCGGTTTGGAGACAGCTCCAGCCCTGGGGCAGGCAAACCCGGATGATGACTCAGAGCCACCGCCTCCTAGCTGTGGCCTTGAGCAGGATTCCTTACCCCTGAGCCCTGGTGCCTCTGGGCCAGATGAACAAGAGGACACCAGGGCTGTGTGCCTGGTGAGCAGCCAATGGGGGTGCTCCATATTGACCCCCTCAGCCGTCCCCCTGACTGTGCCTTGCATAGGGTGAGACACACCCATTCCCCTCAAGCACACCCAGCATGGAAGCCCAGGGGTCCAGGATGCTTTCAATCTTCTATCACAGTCGTCATGAGCAAAGCCAAAACCCCAGCCCAGAGGCCGTAAGCCACGTCACCAAAGCCAGAATCCCAGCCGCACACACCACCCCTCTTCCAGAAGATAGTGAAGGAAGGTTAGTCACAGATCTAATCTTTCAAGGTCAGACACCAATTTTAAAACTAAACAAAGGGAAACGCGAGCGCCCCCTGCTGGGGAAAGCCCACACCCGCAGCCTGAGTCGCCCCCGCCCCGGGGGTGCGTGAACCCCACCCCTAACCCTAACCTCATTGTACCCCCAGCCCATCAGGAGAACAAAGGGGCAGAGCCACCTGGGCTCCCATTCACTCGCTGCCTCCTCCACACCCCAAAGTTCCCTGCAAAGTGAGCCCTGTCCCCAGCAGCGCCCTCTTGTCCCGCGGTCTCAGGCCAGGCTCAAGAGTCCCCTCCCGCCCCGGGACGACCCCATCTCCACCGGTGAAACCCTCACTTCGAAACAAAGTCGAGCACAGCCGAAAAGAGACTCTGGCCGAGTCTCCAGACGAATAGAGACGAGCCTGGCCGAGAGAAGCCGAGAGTGGCCGAATAGAGTCGAGTCTGGCCAAACCGAGCAGAGCTGCGAGGCAGGGCCTAATGTCCCGCAGCGCCCTCTGCAGGACACAGCGCAAAGCTAAGCAGGGCCGTCTTTTCTCCCAGTCCTGAAAAGTCCTGTGGGGAGGCAGGTGTGAAACCCACTTTACAGATGAGGAAACTAAGGCTCTAAGGAGTTATCAGGCTGGTTCAAGGGCACTCAGAGCTAAGAAGTGATGCGTCTAGGGTCCAAGCCTGATTTGTGGCGGAGCACCCACCCTCCACTGCTCTCAGGTAAACAGGCGCTCTTTGCCTTGTTCTCCCCATAACAGGGCCAATTATTAGGATCCGGAAGCAGGATTCCTTCTTGCCTGATGGCGGAAGCCATGGCAGAAGCTCAGCCATAACTGTGGCCTCAGGCGTGTTGACCAAATGCAGCTGCCAGCAGTCTCCATGAGCAAATATTGACACATTTCCTGGCTGTTAAAGCAGAAAGCAGGGCAGAAGCCATATGCTTCCAGTTCCGCGGGGAGCTTAGCCACTCCCAAAGCCAGCTGCCCACTGCAGCCTCAGTTTCCCCATCTGGAACAAGATGGTGGAAGAGAACGTAGGCAGCAGACAGTGGCTCAGAGCAAGGAGTCTGGGCCCAGAGGTCCGAGTGTGGCCCAGTACTTTGAACGGGTGTGAAAATGAACACCAGTGGGACCCTTTACATGTCATCCTCCTGCACTTCCGTGGAGCCCAGGCTGCCCCTCTGCCTGGGGGATGGTCTTGGGTGTGCTGGCCACCACTAGGGCCACCATGTTGATGGCAACAGTAGCCTCAGAGCTTTCCCCACCACGGCATCACTGGCCACCCAGCCCCCACTTTCACAGTTTTTTAAAAGACCTTGAACCCTGGAGTGGGGACTGGGAAAAGTATTCTCAGGCCCAGTCCCAGTGTGGTAGCCCTGGCTAAGTCACAGGGCCATCCTATAGCTGCTGTCAGAACCAGAAGGTCCTACACACCTCTCTGGGACAGACACAAGCCCTCCGTGGGAGCCCCTCCTGCACTACAGAAGGGTCCTGGCTGGGGTCAGACCCTTCCACGGACCTACGCATGGGAAACCCTGCTCTGTTTCCAAATATTAACTCATTCTAGTTACCTGGAAACAGGACCATTTGCTTTCATCCTTATCTCAAAGGAAACTGAGGCACAGAGAGGTTGATCGACCAGCTCAAAGTCAAACAGTGAATGGCTGAGGCAAGACTCAAACCTTAGCAGGCCTGGAGTCCACGCGCTACGCTGCTGTGGTATCTCTGCCCGGCCTCTGCAGCGGGCAGTGAGCAATAAGTCCTTGAATGAAGGGGTGCGCGGATGCAGCAGGACCTCCGGGGCCCAGAGGTGGCAGGTGGAGAGTGGTACTTGTTTGCCTGAACAAAGTGCCACAACCTAGGCACCTTAAACACAACCATCCTGGAGACTAGAAAGTCCACAGTCAAGGGCTCACTGGGGTTGCTTCCCTTGCAGGCCTCTGGGAATCAGTTCCTTCCTCCGTCCTGGTTCTGGAGGTTTGTGGACCATCTCTGGCATGCCTTGGCCCAGAAAACGTTACCCTGCTGCCTTCTTGCTTACATGGGCTTCTTGTTGTGTGACTCTGTCCTACTTGTCCAAACCCACCCTTCTTTTTTCTTTTAAGTACCCAGAGATCAGACCCAGGACCTCCCATGTGCTAGAGAATCACTCAAACACTGAGCTATATCCCTGGCCCTTTTTAATATTACATTTTGAGCTCGGCATGCTGGCGCACACATACAATCCCAACATTCAGTAGGTTGAAGCAGGAGGATCGCTGTGAGTTTGAGGCCAGCCTGCACTATATAGCAAGACACTGTCTAAATATATATATATATATTTTGCAACAGAGTCTTGCTAAGTTGCTCAGGTTGGCCTTGAACTTGCACTTCCTGCTAAAGCCTCCTGAGCAGACTTATAGGTGTGTGTCGTGGGCCCTCCCATTTCCTTAAGGACACTAAATCGTACCGGATTCAGGATCCCTCCTACTGCACGGTGCCCTCATGTTAACTTCTTACATCCTACTTTCAAATAAGTTCACATCCTGAGGTTTGAGGGTTAGAATTTGAACATTCAAATTTGGTAGGACACAATCTCATCCCTAACAGGACGGATCTTCCGACCTGGCCCTGTCTGACTCAGCCTCTGCCCCAGGGCGCCTCCCGTCCCTTTCTCCGCTGCACACACAGTGTCCCTCGGCCTCAGGGCCTTGGCACACATGGTTCCTCTGCTGGGCACGCTCCCGCTCACACTTCTGTCTCCACACACGCCCCCCCCAGGCCACTCCACGGAACACTTTGCACTCCTTCCCCAAAGAGCACAAAGTAGTGAGTCTTCTGCAGCTGCTTGGGAGGGTGCAGAGCAAAGCGACCTGTACCCGGCCTAGGGCGGCACCTGGCAGACAGTGGCTGTTTCTGAGACGTTCATTAACTTGAACTAAGGCAGGACAGGTGAGATAAACAGCCCGAGGCCACGCACTAGGTTGACAGCAGCCTCCTCTTTGGTCCCCGGCTTTTTGGAGTACTTGGCCCCCAACCTTGCAATGGACTTGCCCAGATCCCATGGGGGCTGCCAGTGGTGGGCAGTGCCCCAAGGCCTTGGCAGGGCAGTGACCTTGCAGGAGTCCAGAGGCTGCTCATGTGACAGCATGGGGTTCTCACTGCCTTGAGAGTTTTCTTCAGTGTCTGGAGTGTCATGGTGGCCCGACTGTCATCTTCCTGTGGGACAGTGGCCTCCATCATGCCTTCCAGGTGAAGAGGATCTTGAAGCTCTGGGGGCTTTGGTGTTCCCATCCTCAGGTCCTGTGACTTCTAGCTCCTCTGCACCTCACTGATGCTGACGCAGAGTCCTGGTGCAGAGGCTGGTGGTCATGGGCTGTTGCCTGGCAACCACTTCTGAGCAACAAGCTCAAGGTGAGGACTCTTAGCTTGAGTCCAAACCACTTCAGGGACTGGAGTGGACTCAGGCAGGGTGGGTGGTCATGGCCGCTCCCTTCCTGCTCAGACTCTTAACTGCAGAGCCTCCCCTCATGCTGCACATGAGGCCCACACCCCCAGAGTCCAGCCCCAGCCCCCAGATCAAGGTCCTCTTGGACCACTCTCCTAACATCCACACTCATTTATTCAAGGCCAGCTTGCACGTGTGTGGGACAAGGATGCCAACACATGAGCATACATGGGAGCATGCGCAGGTGGGGACACCCAGCTTGGGGAAGGGCAGGGCTGTGGGACCCTAGGGAAGGACCTGGCCCAGGCACCCCCATGTAATGCCCAAGCCCAGGAGTCCTCTGTCCTCCCCACATACACATGCCCCAGTGCATGTCACACCCAGATGTCCTGAGCACCCAGTACAATCCAGCACTGGCTCATGTAGACCACACACATGCACCCACGTCCCACCTAGCAGAAGCAGCCATGCAGTAAGCTTGTGAACACCCAGGCTGCTGGGGTGGCCTGGCCTGCCTTCACTTGCCATGGTGGTCTGTCTTTGACTTATCTTCCACCCCATTGGCCAGGCCAGACTCTCTGTCATAGCTCCTTATGTTCTCTCTGGCTGGAAGGGTAGACACAGTAATCTACACTGACCAATCATGGCACCCTAGAATCACCTTGTCTTCAGTGATTGGCCCAAGGGACTTTCACGTGACTCAGTTGGAGCCAATCAGCTTTCTTCTACGAGATTTTTATAATTGAGTAATAGGAAGAAAAGTTATGTACTGCTTTTGGATGAGATCTGTAAGGATGTGGACCTGGCCTGTCCAGGGTGTCTTCCAGGTCCTCTAAGGACCTACTTCAGGAAGCCACATGAGCACAGGTCAGGACACACAAAGTCCAAACACTCCCACACACTCCACCTATCGGGACACTCAGCATCCAGCCTAGAATTGGCCCAGGTCACAGATGCTGTCACATGTCACCATCTTTATTAACAAGCATTAGGGGCTGAAGTAGCACAGGATTTCCTAACCAGCCTCCTGCTTCCCTTGCAAGACACTGCTTTCTGCCCAGGAGCCAGGAAGGTAGGGACGGCTGGAGTGCCAGGGGCCCCTTCTTCCTCTGACCCTCTCATCCTCTTCAGGGAAGCTCCACACCCAACTCAGGGCTGGGCCTCTGGCCTGCAGCCTTGACATTGGTTCGGTTTGGGGTCCTTCCTTCTCACCCCCAGGGGTCTGCGCTACCTCCAGGCCCTGCCTGCGGGCCCTTGGCCTCCCCTCCTTCCATTCCTCAGGGCTGCGAGGTGGCCCTGTGAAGGCTGGGCCCAGAAAGGCTGCCTGATGCCGGAGAGGGGTGTGGGCCACACTTGAGGGTGGATAGTGCACCTTCACTCAGTCATCTGCCTTCCCCAGCCCACCCATTCCATGACTGGCAGTTTCCTCAGAACAACTGCTTCTGCCCCCAAGTCCCAGGAGGCAGGCAGGCTGGGGCATCCGCCTCCATTTTATGATAAAGAAATGGATGCTTGGAAAGGTCAGACTGGGTCCTGAGGCGATCTGAAGACCTAGGTCTCGAAAATTCTGCTCAGGTGCTTTCCCTGAGGAACCCCTACCCTCAGGGAGGTGGGGGGAGAGCTTTGCCAGGGGTACCAACTGCCCCAGGGCGACCTCCTTGTGGCTCTAAGGGGTTATCTCGGCAGGGGCCCAGGCCCTCTTGGACAGGGCCCCTGGGAGTGTAGAGGATGGGGATGGAGGGACCTGCCGCCCCCAGGTGAGGGGCTTACCCACCTGGTGTCCACTCCCCAGACCTCTGTCAGTGCCATGCTGGTCTTACCAACCTCACAGGGGCTGGCCCTGTATCCCGGGGGACATTTGCTCCCCCATCCCATCCTGTCCTAGAGACAAGTCTGGCAGGGCATCAGTCCACCCTGGCCCATGGATGCAGCAACCAGCAGGGCCAAGGTCAGCTCCACAGGCATTAAAAATGTCTGTCCTGCCCTCTCCTCTCCGTTTTCCTCCTTCCACTTCCTCTTCTTCCTCCTGCCTCCTCTTCTCCTCCTCCTCTTCCTCTTCCTCCTCCTCCTCTTCCCTCTCCTCCTCCTCTTCCCTCTCTTCCTCCTCCTCCTCTTCCTCCTCCTCTTCTTCCTCCTCCTCCTC